CTGGACGACCTCTCGTAAAAATTTAAAACATATATGTGTAAGTGAATATCTACATTTTCAGATTGTAAATGTTTTCCCCCAGAGAAAACTTAGTTTCCAATACACACTTTTTCCAAAAAATAATGTAATGTCATTTTCTATTTACATTCCTTCTCACTCTTTCTCCTTTAAAGCAATATATATCTTTCCACTTGTTTTGCCGTTTTTCAATCAAAGAGTGTGGAGTATTGTGGTAGCATCTTTGTGCTGATGACACTTGAATGCATTTCGCCGATGTCAGCGAGTACCACAGATGATGTTCTGCTATGTACACCGACGCATGACAGCTGAGCCCGCTCTCGTGGTCCTGACATATTGTTTTAGCCTCAGGCCAAAATCCCTTTATTGCATAAAAGTGCACTCAAAGAGAATCACATCCATTTCGAAAATAAATTTTACTTTTGATATTTTCATACCCTCCGGATATGCAAGGATTTTACCCGTCATGCAGGTAGGAGTTTTTATAAACTTGACACAAAAAGTTTGTGGTTATAATATTTTTTTGTTTGATATTGCACACACCAGTCAATGATTGTAAAAACAAAAAAGAGCTAGTACTAATTATTTTATTTCAAAATTGACCCTCTAAACATATTCTAAAATAAGAATGGCATTAGACAATGGAAATACATAGCTACAAAATCAGATGTAAGCGATCAAGATTAGCAGAAGCCTACACCCAAGATCAAGATGTATAGGCTTGGCCTGCACCTGGTTATTTCTTAATGTTAACCAACGTATCATAAATATGTGCAACAACCAATCATTTTACTTCTACATCTCTATGACGTCATCAAAGCACATATATCAATTACCACAGCACTACTCTGAGTAATTATCCTGCTATCTCAGTAGATCTCAATTACTCTGTCATTCTCTCCAATTACTGTGAATTACTTTCATTGTGAGTTATAGGCAAAACTATTTGTGAAAAATTGTTTCTACTTATTTGAGACTGTTATATTACAAATATTTCATACATTATTATAAACTTCCTTCAACCCCGAATTTAATTTTCTTCAAAATCTACTCTGAATCTTAGAGCTCAAAGGATGTATTCGCACAATCAATAAGTCTGGGGTTTTAAAATTAATTTAAACACACACAATAAAGTGAGCGCACAAAGGGATGGCAATTTTGTGTTTTATCCCAAGAACAATCTTCCGAGACACAAACTAAGCCGAGACTTGAAGCCGCAATCTCCACATCAAAGAATCTCACTCCAATCGTCTCACTTATTGCTTGTCACCATCCGTGTGGTTGGGGAACTCGACGGGTGAAATGTTTAAATTAAGTGGGTTTGGATTTAGGTGTTGGCTTTACATTGAAATTTGTTATGGGTTTCTTTTATAGTAACACTTTGGATTAAAGTTAAGGGGAATGCACAGATTAAATGGGGAAAGTTAATCTTAAGCACTGTAATCATCAAAAGATAGGATGTAATATTTAAACAACCGCAAAGGAAAACATTAAATCCATTCAGTTAGTGCTATGTTACATAAACTGTTATTTTCTTTCGTTTTACGATAGTTAAGTTTTTTATACTGTATATATATTTTAGAAACGATCCAGCATTGTTCTCCTAACTTTCGAATGTCAACCCACGATTAAAAGTTAAAAATGAAATTTTGCTTTTCATTCGTGTGATTATGTTAATTGAAAAGAAGCAAACAGATTCCAAGGCCATTTATACGACCATTCGGCTAATCTGAACAAATTTAAATTGAATTAACCTAATAATCCTTTTAGTTGAACAAATTTTTGTTTTTCGACAATCTGTAATAGTGCAAAAACTTATTACAATTATTTATTACTCGCAACCGGACTTGTAGAAACCCTAATATTCATTCCTGTATACATCTTCGTCACATTTATTTGTTTATTTGTTTATTTGTTCACGGTATAACACCATTTTTACAGGGTTGACATAACAGGGTTGACATGCTGATATAGATACAATATTGAAAGATTAACCTTAAATATAGTTCCTCTTTCAACAATTGTAACTACGCCACTCAAAAAATTCATTTTCAGTTAACTTTACACGATACAACACTGCCACACAATTTGTAGTAAAAAGGGGTAGACGTATCTATTGGCACAAACAACCGAATGAAAATATCGATCGGTATACCGATTATTTGATATGTCGTTTGGTTAGTTAGGTAAGGTTAAACAGATACGGAAGTCTACCCGTAAAAAGAGTTAATACCAAAACGAAAACACATAAGTAACTAGACACTAACACGAACACTGAAAGTAACACCTAAACTCCGTGTTACAGAATGTGATGCGACACGAAGTTACTTACCCTTGTCTCAGAGGGGTTAATGCAAATCTAGCTAGCTTTTACGGTTTCCGATTTCTTAAGTGGAAATTCAACACTTGCCACCGCGAGAGTGATAAGGTGTGGATGACTCGGGTGTGCTTCCTATCTTCAGTTATTCCTATCTCTTCCACTTTACCTCAACTTGTTTCCTTTTAGCGTTAAAGAGGTCTGCTTATCTAAGTGTATAATATCATTGAGTAAAATGATAATATTAAATTAGGAATCGTGTTGTAGATGGTTATTATGTGTTTTCTCGTGTCATTGGCATTATTTTCTTGTTGGAAATGGACGTTTTAATCTGGTTAAAACTGTGTGACGTTTGACCTTTTGTCAGAAAGCATAATTTTCTATTTAATCTGGGTTCGTTGTATTAATAGTCAAAGGTTCATAATCAATCCTGTTCAGAATCTAGCAAACCCCCCTTTATATTTTATGGCGAGCACTATAACAACTTACCTGCCCAAACAATTATTTTTTGCGCGATAAGGCGGTTCAGGTCTAGGCCAAGAAGAACATTTTTATCAAGTTTTTTATCACTTCTGGGATATTTTTCTATCCAATTGTACATATTGTTTGTGTTTATGCTGATCTACAATGAAATCTTTTATAACTTGGCTTGAAACATACATTTTGGCGACAACGTGTTCAATAGCATCAGGTAGAAGGGCAAAAGTTCAACATTACTTCTGTAAACCTATAGTATTTGTTTTATTCATGCAAGTGGTCAAATTAAGAAAGGAATTACAATTTAAATTGAAATACCTTGTGCTGGCTTTTGTTCCACGTAGATATTTTATAGAACTTGTCTCATAAAAGAAATAGTGTACTTTAAACGTCGAACATTGAACTTACGGCCACCCCTGTAAAGAATGCCTTTTAACTGTCTAACCTTTTCACTACGTCTGAGTTGATCCATTTCATTGAGGGCCAGAAAAGCTAAAAGAGAATATACGTATATAATATTGAAGTAAACATAGTTTAGTTTGATCTAAATCTGATAAATTGGAAACAGGACGTTGCAATGTGGTTGTGAATGTTATTCACTGTATCGTTGCCAATTTTCAATTTACTGATATTATCTACAACGCTTTGTTGCCGATTCTTCTGATTGAATGATGATTGATATCCTCTATCAAATATATTTATGATCCATCTGATAACAAGCAATCGGAAAACAAACTGTTTCTATTGTTCACGCAACACATTTCATGTTTGAAAAATTAACCTCGAGCTCCAGGCTTTCAGTTATTTGAAAGCCTTTATAGGCGCGTAGCATACTTTGGCTCTACACGTATTGTAAAATTGAAATTTTTAATTTTTAAATGCTCTTCTTTTCCAATCAAATACTAACAATGGGTCGCAAAACACAATTTTCAAAAGCCTAGCCAACCATTTACTACAATTAATCTCTGATTAAAAATCATTTATAAAAAGCGATATCAAGATCGGTCGGGTGAGTGCACCAGTGAATGGCCGTTCAAGCTTGAGTTTTCTTTTGTATTCTATGTGGGAAAATAGGCTAAACCTCGAGAACCTAAGTTTAATCGTATTGTCCGCATTCTCCTGTACGTTCGAAAGACAAACTTAACGTATTATGTTTAAAAGTAGTGTTGAAAAATACTATGTAGCCTACAACACAAAAACATTGTACCAGTGAATGACCGCATGTTATGTAGCATTTTATTGTAATTGTACAGTATTAACCCTCCATTTTTCACCAAACAACCCGGTCAAGATTCTCCCCTCAAAGCTGGACACCCTGTATATTGTAAGAATAACCAATCCTAGTCCTAATGAATTTCCACTGTTCATCTGTAAAATATAAGTAACCTTAAACCCTCAGCCAAATTCTGGTTGATGGTCATGCTTTCTGATGAGATTTAATATTTTATGTTTTATAGCAAGCCTTTTTAATACATCATTAAACAGTTTCCAAAACTTTGAAAGAAAATTGTTCCAAATCTAGCTAATTACCTGCAACTTTCCGTTATGCCTACTTTTTCACAAACAGTCTTAAAAGTAACTAAAGCCTGACGGCTAATTGAAATAGACTAGGTTTTCTAGGCTTCTCTTATTGTATAGAATACACGTCAAAGGGTGTGGTTTATATTCATTTATCTAAATACTCATAAATTAAGGCGAAATTTCTAACTTCTGCAAAGTTTTGATATCCAACCTTGTAGTTTTTGCATTAAAAACGTTTGATCACAGAACTGATTCAAGTAACGCGTTTTCTCCATACCAAATAAAATGGTTTTTCAAAATCCCTTGTCTTTGTGTGAATGACATTTACAATCTTGCAGAAGGAAAAGAAGTCGTGGACTCATTTTAGAGGAAAGCCCCCAAGCTTCGCCACCTAATTGTCTCCTAACATCTCAAAGACTTTGCCGCTTTGTAAATATGGAATATTTTCTTTGCTCTGACACATAATTTGTACTTCAAACAAAACAAGGGCTTGGAGCAGCCTTAGCTGGCGTTATATTTTGTTCAATATACAAAATAATGGAATTCTCATGTATGAGTGTTTTCTACATATTATCTTTCAAACAAGAAAATTTTGGTACGAAATGAATTGGAATACGAAAATTAATCACACTTTATGTAAACAAATCCACTAAAAATTATTTAATACTTAAACTAAATAAAACAGTAAAACAAACAAAACTTATTCAGGATTATTTCAATGGAAGCATATGCTTTCGTAATTCCACAGGCTTTAGAAGGTTGGGAAGATTAAGAGAAGGGTTTGTACGTTGAGGCTTGAGCGGGTTATACGGAGGATTTGCAAGATATGGGTGAGATTGTCTTGGGGCTGGTTTGGGCAGCTTCTGTTCCTGGAGGCGATTGTACTGGAACGACGGCCAGGAACAGGAGTCTGGAGCGGAGGCGAGGAGTGACATCACTGCACGCTGAGTGGCCAGAGAGTCTACATGGACCTGGTCTGGCGAAAAGGAGCCACACACCTGCGAACAAAGAGGTTGTTGGATATGGTTGTCAATGAGTTGGAAGCCCCTGATGGTCTCAGCACAACTCAGCTTATCACAATGCTGCATTCCTCCTATATCAGCCTGAAGTAACCTCTTGGTTCCGGAAATACAAGATTCAATAATTTTAGTTTAAAGTGTTCAGAATTATTGGATTCAAGACTGTTAGTAAACTCTGACTGTCTTGTTGGCTGGTAGATTGTCAAATTGTTTCCTTAATAGACATTGGAATATTACGGTTTGTAAATCCCTAGCAAAAATAAAAATAGAAAAGCAAAGCCTCGGCTTGGTAATAGCTAGTCTACTACTTAGATATACCTATCTCAATGTTAGCACGAGAAACAATCAGATACTGCGGAGCAACACACTCCTGATGCGACTTGCTTGAATATATTTATACTCTTCTTTATGCACATACAATTCCTGGCTCACGCCTGCATGCGGCACTGACATCTGAGAGGCCGCTGGCCTGTTCCAGATGGCATTCCCGAAGGAGTTCACCGCTTATAACCGATGGAGAGCTATCCTCCATCATGAAGGCTCCATGCAACCCCGGACTGTGGCCCGTGTGTGGGACATCCCATCTAGCACATCTAGCAAACCACCCTCTCGGACAGGCCTTCGGGTTCGACCCCTGATGTCCTCTTAGACAGGTTATCGGGCCTGCCCCCGATCCGTTATTTACATGAACGGTCACACATCCCGTTCCCGGGACTACCAGGCTTTCACCGGTTTTAACCACTGCTCCCGAGAGACCATCGCCAGATTGCAGGACTACTGCTTACAGGAATGTAACTGTAAGCAGCAGGAGCAACCTGCACCCTCGGTACCAGAAGAGCTCTGGTCAGCTTTCTGCACTGTGGGTAACGACCACACAGCGCCTCCCCAGTTTTAGACTGATGGCTAGTCTTGTGGCTGGGTCAACTACTGGACCTCCGGTGGCTAGCCAGAGAGCACACATACTTTGTGATTGAAGCCACCTATAGAACATCCTCTCCGTTTGCCGGCTTATCCTGAGGAACTTTGGGTCTTACCTTCCGCACCGCAAGGAAGTAGCTGTATAACCCTCCCATCTTTCAGGTAGGGGTCTCAGAAAAAAATTTTTGATTGACTAATACATTTGTTGTTACTTGACAGCAAATTTTAATGTGGAACAGAGCTTTGTTTCTTATGTGCGCTGTCTGCTTTTTTATTCATGTCAAACGATTAATTGATTCAATCCTTTTTTTTATTTTCGTCAATTGATTGAATCTTGAACTATTGTCATAAATAGACAAATTGCAAAGCCCCATAGAACAATAACAACCAAACTTAGAAAAGCATTCAAGCAGACAATTTCATGAGTTAATGCGTCAAAAGTAAATCATTTCTTTGATCAATGCACCGCAAGCTATAACTATACTGAAAACCCAGTTGAAAATATTCTTACCTCAGCGACAAATGCCATCTGGTTAGACCGTGAAAGATTTGCCCATGCAGCAAAGAGTTCGTAATCTGTTGGACACCTGGAAGTCTGCGAGTACAACCCGTGTCTCCTCACTCTGTCGTAGAACAATGATCTTGCTGCCTCCAGCACTTGGGCAGGGACTCTGTCGTACGCCCAGGATGGATATCGATACTTGGGGATGACTGGAGCGTAGGACGGCACAGGAGGTGGCAGAACATACCGATCTGGAGGTTGGAAATGGTCGAAGCATTTCTTTGGCTCATGATCGTCTTTGATTAGAATTTCTGGAACGGTGTTCTCCTGGACAATCAAAAAATATTATTCCTGTTAGTCTAACCTTGATATAACGAACCTCGATACAACGAATTCCTTGATATAACGAATTTTTTTTAAATCCCCTAGAACTCTCTATAAGACACAATGTATATTTGACTTCTACATAACGAACAAACCATAACAACGACCTTGATTTAACGAATTTTTCGTGATTTCGGCTAAAATTAGACACCTCAATATAGCGAATTTATCATTGTCAGAACCTCTACATTGCGAATTTAACCTCTGCATAACGAATTGTCTACGTCTTTCCCTCGATATAACAAATCCCCCACCCCATTATTGTTTTTGAAAAATCTGTTTCTTTATCAAATGAAATGGAAAGGTGACGTCATCGCTTGCGCTAACATTCGTCTGCTCCGTTTTACACATCTCTGTCTGCTGTCGCTGCGCGCGCTATGTTGCAATTGCAACTGAGAACTGATTTCATTCACTGAGGACTGATGACGACGTAATGTTTAGTAAGCTGTGACCATTTACCATTTACCATTTACCATCCGGTGTCTTCTCCACAATCCAGGGATCGGGGAATCGTCAAACTTCTTCCTGATCAAACTTCAGGGGAATGATGGGTTTGTAGGCCTATTCACGTCTCAGGTGTTGGAAAGTGTGCTCCACAATAAATTCGAAGACTGTGTAGTATGGCCTATCTGTTAAGTATTGTTTTAGTTTACTATTGAAGGTGACAGGTTTTTTGATGGTTTTGAGTTGTGGTGGTAATAAATTGAAGAAGTAAGAGCCAGAGTAGTGAGGACTATTGTTGAATTTCTGCAATCGATGTTGTGGCCAGTTGTGGCAGGTCTATGTTATGTGTGTTGCGGAGGTTGTATGAATGTTGTTCTGATCTCAGGGTAGGTGTCGATTGTTTTGCAAGTGTGATGGATTCCAACAGGTACAGGGATATAACTGTAAGGATTTTATGTTCTCTGAAGATCGGCTTGCAGTGTTCATGATTTGGCAGTTGAAAGATTGTCCTTATGGTCTTCTTTTGGATGGTGAGGATGCGTTCCATGTTCCTGTCCGCTGTGGATCCCCATGCAGCAATCCCATAACGCAAATGTGAACAAAAGAGGGAGTGGTAGGCTATTAATGCTGTAGTTTCATTGGCGATGGCTCTAATTCTTCGAACAACGTGGTGTGCAGAAGATAGTTTTCCACAGAGGTAGTCAACGTGGTCCTGCCAGCTGAGATGCTGATCGACATATATTCCGAGGAACTTTGTTGAGCGCGATAGGGGTATGCTGAGGTCATGCCAATTGCCACCAGATTCGTTTTTGTTGTTAGGAGTGATTGGGCGATATGGGATAACTATGGTGAATTGTACAATTTTTGGATAAAGAGAAACCTAAGAAAGAATATAAAAACAAAACCAAAGAGAAAGAATAGCAACATCGTTATTTTAACATTCCTTTTACGAGTATTTTTATTATCTCTAAGTTGGCTATGATTATACCTTTTATAATGACTTATCTAATAATTTATTGTTTTCAATACGATTTGTTTCAACTAGCAACACCAATGCTATAGTTAATGATTATTATTGACATTCCTCTGTTGTGATAAATCAGTAATTTACTGTACTGTAAGTAGCCTACCGGCCTATCGCGAGCAGTAGCTTACAAAACTTTCAACTGTTTTGTTTTGTTCTTTACATGGTTTATGACTACGCAATACAGTGTTTGGCTAGGTTTTAGGAGGGTTAGAACAAGCTGTGATTTTAAACTTACAGTTTTTAACCTGTACCAAGGTCAATGCCATTTTCATGATTGCGCAATATTCAAGATCCCTCCCCTTTATTATGCCGCATAATTTAGGTTCTACTGTACAATGTAAACACTGTACTGTAAAGTATTGTAGCCTATGCTACTTTAATTGTGTTTTAATGATGTCTAATCCCGACCTATATTGACCGAGACTGGTTCTGAACCTCGACTTAGCGAAATTCCTGTAAACATAACCTCTATATAACGAACCTCATTTTAACGAAATCCTTGATATAACGAATGTTCAGTTCGGTCCCTTCAGATTCGTTATACTGAGGTTGGACGTATATTCTTATGAAGAATTTACTTCTTATCAAGAATTTGCCAATGACCTAATAAAAAATTAAAATATTGTTTTATGTAATTAGTGTTATTAAAGTGCTTATTAACTCAAATGTGCAGTGTTAATTAGGGTAACCAAACTCAAGCAGGACATTTGAAAGTAAAAGTGACAGTGAGAGTAAAACTATTTATTATCCTTTAGTGGATATTGTCATTTCAATGTTAAATACCACGTATAATGTAAAGTTAAGACTCACAGTTGTGTGGATGTATATCTGGTATTACTGATATTTAAATGTCAGTTCATGCTTTTAAAATAAAGTCCAAACAGAGAATCTCGGTTCGTAAATCAGATAACAAAAATGTAAATTAAACGATCATATTTGGTCTTTGTGATTGATTATACATAAATATTAAACAGTATTACTTACCTATTTGAATATATCAGTTATTGATAATACTCACATTTTCATCACAATATTCAGATGAAGGCCAAGATGCTGAATCTGTGCATGAGTTCAGCAGACACTTCACAGCTTCTTCAGCATCGCTGGTGGCATCCAACACATTGTGGTCCCTACTGGCATGGATGGACGGCAACAGAAGGTTGATTGGCTCCGGCTTCTATGAATTCCAGGCAGATGTGTTTAAAAAAATACATATCATCAGGTTGGTATTTAGGGGGTAAATTTCTGCAATAAACTGCAGAAAGTTACATTTATGAGTCTAATGTTAGCAAATTTCCTATTTCTGGTAGCTATAGTCTTGGTAAAACCTGACCTTGGCACCTATTTGCTTATTTGTTTGGAAGACCAAAAAACCATCAGTGTCTATCATATAAGAATGCCTATATGTTGTGTTAGCACAATACCGTAACTAGAGTAATTATGATCTGATGAAATTTGGTACAAACATGTAAACCTACCTTTTGATTGAGTTTGCAAACCGACCGGACGATGGGAACGGAGAGGTCAAAGTTGGTTTTCCCCATTTTTGATGCTCAAAACAAAAACCCTATACATTTAAAATTCCTATGTTATTGTTAGGGTAGATAAGTCGAAAATGTCTTTATTTTATACTAAGCCATTAAAATTTAACTTCACATTATTAGCTTCCCTGTAGTAGGTAACAACCAAGTACTCCTTAAACTAAAGTTGTTTAAATAAAGAATAAACCTGACTTTTTTTGTAGTTTCAGTGGAAATCAAATTATTAGGTACCTAAATGGAAATTCACTAGCCTGCAAGTTTGCTGCATTGGTGAATCAGATTAACAGCTTTTCACTAGTGTTGTTGGTTTACATTTCCCCAGAATGATGAGTTAATCCATTGTAACAGAAAATATTTTAAAAACAACTTGGTTAGATAGATACAACATTTAATAGCTTAGTGTGTCATATGGGTCACTCAAATCAAATCTAACAAATTAGAATCCAAAATGAACATACTTTAATACCTAAGTAACATGAGTTATTATTGCTATATTACATTACTCTTACCTTGTAAGTTCTTTTGTTGTAAATAGGTTCGCTTACAAAATCTGGCACTTCGGATAGCAAATAATAATAAGGCATGCTTAATTTCCCCAAAGAAACAGTAAACTTTTTCACTTAATAATTGTTTATTTGCATTTAAATGTTGTAAATTGAATTGTACTTTAAATCACATGTACTTGAACAGCTGGCGAAAGTAAAAATGATTTCAACAATATATTCTTGCATGATTTTAAAGAATGTAGCTACAAATTCATTGATATGCATGTTTTTCTTTTTCTTTATCTGATTTGTGATTAATAGATAAAATATTAATGATAGAATGGATTCCAGACATTTCAGGGGGCCTCAAAAAATATTTTGATAAAAGCTTTTTCCAAATTGTATTTTTCATAATTAGCGTTTTTTTGCCAGATAAGAATCTTATCTGATACCCTACAGTATTAGAAATTCTACACAATTCCAAGGGAACAAGGTCTGCATGAACTTTCCTGCAAGTCACTCAACTTTGAATTATATTTATTTGGATTGGCAATTCAGAACAAGAGTAGTTTATCTTATATGTGATGTGATTATCTGCAGTACTTAATTTAATCAAATATTATTTGGCAGGGGTTAATAAATTGTTTGTTTTTAGAATCGGGTCTAAAATAATTTAAATTAAAACAGCACAAACAACTTACCTTGTTTGTTACCATCATGAACCAATAACCATGTTTAGTTGTTTTATTATGTTTATGTTTCTTTGATAGATTTTAACAATAACATAGGCCAGTGACAAAGTCTGTGATGAAATCTCTTCTGTGTTACATGTCAAATTAAAGTGATGAGAGCAAGGGGCAGTGATTTAACACTTGAGCAGACTCTCAGGGATTTATTCACTCATGCAGACAACTTGCAAGGATTAAGCTGCCACTTCAAAAGCAGATCTTTGAACTTAAGTTTGAACAAATAAGTAAAGCAAACTTCCAATATAATTACGGGCTTTGTGGGATTGGCCATGTGGAAGACAAGAGAAGCGGTTTTGTTATGAAGACCTCTGATTTGAATATAATTTGTGCGTTCATGTCATCACTGACAGTTAGTGCTATATGGTTTTGATTTCTAAAGGTGAGTGTTTTCTTGTTGGAGAACAGTTGTGATTTGTATTAAAATGAAAATCTTATCCATAGCATTCATATAATAACTAACATAGCATGGTACTTTCACCTTAATTATTTTTAAGTAATATAAACCAGAAAATTGAAGTCAACCCTAATTTGGTGACAAACAATAACATATCTGTCTCATTATTTTGCGTCACTGTTGACCTCAACTCATTGAAAACAACAAATTATCTGGTAAAGAATTACCCTTTATATTACACTGAGACAATATTTCATCTTGACCCTACTTATTCAAAGTATCTGATGTAAAAGTAAAAAAACAAAGACTTTTTGGTTTGATTAAAAAGTTGAAAATCTGTTTGGATCAATAGCTGATATAAAAATATTCTGGGTTAAGAACATTTTATGAATAATTTATAAATACATCACATTAAGGCTATATGCAGTACCAGATTTAGGGTACTAGCATAAAAAATAAAACATTAGTTTTGGGCTAAATTAACACAGTAATATGCCGTGCGATCTCGGTGACATCATTGTTGTCATTCACATAATTTATTAACTAAAAAAATTCAATATCTATTATTTAAAAGTTTTTAAAGTACAAAACGCTGTAGTCTCCGCTTTCATATGGCTGTAGCGGACTAGATGTATATCCGGTATTGACTATTTCATATTGGATTTCATATTTGAAATCGTAGTTAAATAAAAGTTCAAAACAATGTAGGGAGCAATAGTTTTTATTATTTAAATAAATAGCATAACTAAAAAGCCCCAAACTATATTTAGGTAATCGGAACCCTTCAATATGAGACCCGGTATCCCTAGGTTGGTGGGGATGGTGGGAATTCAATTATTCTTAAACACGCTTCTTTTAGTATTTGTGAAGTATTGACCACAATATTTAATAGGATGATAGAAAAGGGTGTATACCCAACAGTACTTAAAAAAATTAAAGTGGTTCCAGTTCACAAGAAAGATAATGATAGTTATGAAAGCTTCAGACCAATATCAATTGTACCAACCATATCAAAGTTGTTTGAATTACTAATGTATAACCAGGTGTATGAATACTTTGAAAGTAATAACATTTTTACTGATAGGCAGTTTGGGTTTCGCTCTGGGAAGAGCACAAATGATGCTGTTGTTAGTTTAGTTATAGATGTAGTTAAAAATATAGAGAACAAAAGATTGGTTTGCTTTCACTCTTTTGACATGTCAAAAGCATTTGATACTGTTAATCACAACATATTAATACACAAATTAAAATTTTATGGTTTTCAAGACAATTCAATTAAACTTATCAATTCGTATTTAAAAAATAGAGAACAATTTGTTAGTTTCAAAAATTAGTTATCTCTTGGAAAAAATATAGACGTTGGTGTTCCTCAGGGATCTTCTTTAGGGCCACTGCTATTTAATATCTATATCAATGATCTGCCATACAATTTGATAGGTGAAAACATTAATAGTTTTCTTTACGCTGATGACCTAGGCTTGAATGTTTGTTCTGAATCTAGAGATCAAATTAATCACATCCTGCAAAATGCTACGGATCTGATTTATCAGTGGTGTAATGCAAATAGATTATGCCTAAATCTAAATAAATTGCAAGATTTAGAAATTTGTTTCTCAAATAGGCAGCCTCTATTAAATGAGGTAAAACCTTTAAAATTTCTTGGAATTAATCTAAATGCAAAACTAGATTGGAAGGATCACATTGACATAACCTCAACCAAAATGTCGAAAGGTGTATACTGCTTAAGAAGATTAAAAGGTTGTGTAACACAAGATGTTTTGATAACAGTGTATTATGCACAGATACATAGTTTATTGAGTTACGGAATATTGGTGTGGGGTTTCCAATCATATACCAAAAAGTTATTTAAATTACAAAAAAGAGCGATAAGGCTTGTAAGTGGTGTACGCTCTAGAACTCACTGTAAACCTATATTTAAACATTTCAAAATTTTAACTTTGCCAGCAATATATATTCTTCAAGTTCTGTTGTATGTAAAAAATCATTTAGAAATGTTCTCAGAAAATTCAAATAGACATAATTATGAAACCAGATTTAAAAACAACTTGCAAACAGTGCTCTGTAAATACTCAAAGAGTCAAACAAACATTCAATACATGGCAGCTAAATTGTTTAATAATTTATCAGTGGAGTCTGGGAGTTGTCCTTGAACACTTTCAAATCGAAATTGAAAACATATTTAATACAAAAATGCCCATATACAGTGGAGGATTTTTTTACATGTCAAAATATTTCTATTTAATTGTGCCTGTATTTATATATTTTTTAATACTAGAACTGATTATATTGATTTATTACATCTAAGTATTCATTTGCTGTATTAAATTATGTATTTTATGACGATTGTTAAAACATGTGAAATGTCTACAACAATAAATTGATTTGATTTGATGTCAGCTAACTTCTAGAAAGCCTAGGCATAAACTGTTTAATTTTCATCCATGTAAAGTACTCCACTAGATGCAAGTTTTAAATTAACAGTAATAGAATGTTTAACTGCAGTTAATTAGTACCAGTAGCTGTTTTAGGAGTCTTCAAAAATTGTTTCAAAAAATAAATATCCTGTGGTGTGAAATATGTCATGAATATTTGGAAATATGAATCAAAACAAAAGTTATAAACTAAGATTGTAATTCGGTAATGGTTTGAATGGGTAATAAAAAATACAATGTTGTTACTTAAATATATTTTACAACATTTACAATAGTAGATAAACACTATTCAACTTACAAAACAACAATATAACTTAAGTACACAATCATGGTTTCATAACAAATGGAATTAATACTATAAATTTAATTACAATATTTACAGTTTTGTCTGTATTTGACAGGCAAAATGACTAGGATGGTAAGTTAAAAACTACCAACACTATCTCATAAACAATATACAACTATATTTTAGTTATTCCAACTAATTTATACCAATAGGCACAATCTATATAAATAAAATTAGAGTTTTGTCTGTACATTGCTTAGAATAATGAACTTTTTGGTTATTTTTACATTTCATAGGTCAGAGAAACCGAATCAAACCTTATCTCAATTTCTGTCTGTCTGTCTGTCTGTCTGTCTGTCTGTCTATCTGTCATTCTCTTGGTAACGCTAAAATACGCACTTTATTACAACTACTCCTCAATAACTATAGCACTGTCCCGCCTGAAACTTATTTTCCAAATACTATACATATATGAGATGGTTTTAGACGTATTTCATCGAATATGAGACAGTTAGATATTTAACAGTAAACCCTTGAAAATCAAGTTTTTGTCGATTTTTGACGTGGAATTTCTGGAAGCCCATGTTAACCTTATGAGAAATGAAATTATTGAATCTTAACAGCTGTTTCAATTAAACAAGTTGGTTCTGTTCTGTGATGTTCAATAGCATTAAAGTTACAAGGATTACCAACAGGGTGCAGCACTAGCACTATTATTTCTTTTACATTTATGACAACAGCTAATTTGCAACCTGGAGGCGAGTGAGCGTAGCGAACGAGCTAACCTGAAGGCAAGTGAGCGTAGCGAACGAGCTAACCTGAAGGAAAGTGAGCGCAGCGAACGAGCTCCAACATACAGGTGAGTGAGCGTAGCGAACGAACTTCAACCAGGACGTGATTGAGCCATGCAAACGAGATCAGATAGTAAAAATAAAAGTAAGCCTACCGTTATAGGATCGACCGGCAGACACAGAGGTAATTTAACCTTTTATTGATTGTCATACCGATCCGGAACAACAAAAAACAACATAAAATGAAGCTATGTATAATAGTTTGGCCAGCATATCTTAAAATATGCAAACCAACTGCTGTTCTTTATATAAGAAGGTTTCAACTGAATATTATAAGATCCCCGTGCGTAGAACGGGTACACAGCTAGTACTTCATAAAATCTTTTACAGTCTGTCGATAAGATGGGAGAAGTTTTAACAACATAATAGAACATTTTGATTTAAATATCAACGTTGTACTACCACTAAAGATTCATCCACAAATCACAATTTTAAATCTACTTTTTACATAGAATAACTTATTCTGCTTTGCTTCTGTAATTATTGTAACTATCACTCAATTAATTATAACAATAGTAATTTAAACTTGTATAAAGAATAAATTACTATCAAAATAAGTCTTACATAATAGATTTAAAATTTTATTATTTAACTCTGGTGCTCCTTGTGCTTGAATTAATGTTTTCTTTATTATTGCTCTTATGCCTAGATTTGAGCAAAGTCAAAATATCACCTTTAAAGGATATTTAGATTTGTTTCTAAAAATCCCAAACTAAAAGAAAAATTGTAAAACATACATATAAAATTAATAGTATTCTTAATTTGATGTATATGACTTTTTTGTTTTATTAATTATTGTATTAATTTTTATGTTTAATGTATCCATAAAGATGACTTTTTCAAGGTTTGAAAGTAGCTTTTGACTTCATTTGCACTACAGTGTTATTATTTCTGTAAAATAATGCAATAAAGCTAAATCAAATAATTGAAGACAAAATAAAATTGTTGTTTCAAAAGATTTTTCTACAGGTTGGTAACTTATTAAATATTTTTAAAGTAGGCTTGCACATATTTTTGGAATGTGATAGGTATTTATTGCACACTACTTTACCAATCTAACATACACTAAGCTTACATTATAGTCTCTTTAATGTGAGCACTAATATTGCAAAGATTCCTAGTCGAGTCTAGAGGTATAAAATAATAACACCAACATCCCTACACCCAATACTGTACCTTGTTTTTAACGAGTTAACAGTAAATAAAAGAATTCAAGATTAAATTATGAATATAAATTATGTTTTGGAAAGGTTGTTTAGAAAAATAAATAGATTATTTGGAACAGGTTATTTTTGTAGTGGGTTCTCCACCTGGGAAACTAAGGATAAGGTAATATCAATAAAAAATTGTGTTAAAATGTAGGCCTAATCAGCTGCATCGAAGGTTTCTATCGTCAATACTAGCATTGACTAGACTTCCCATGTGAAATGAAAGTTTGAAGCCAAGAAAATAGGCTAGATGAAGTTCAGGACCATCTCACCAGAGTTTACTAGTGTATTGGGTTGAATATTAATTAAAACAATAGACAAATAGAATAAACTGTCAAAGGAAGGTTCCGGCACCGCTAGGAGTGCCGTGTAGTTAAGGTGCACACCGCTGCAGGCGAGGAGCGCAGGAGCCGAATGCGAGCAGCAGACGCTGCAGCGGTGTGCACCGTAACTACACTGCTAACCTAGTGGTGGACACCAGAACTTATGCTAACCGCAGCACAGCTGACGGTCTATGTTTATTTGTCTATGTTAAAACCAATGCAGTATCATAGCAACAGCTGATTGATTTATCACTTAACACAGAATATTGTCATTAGTTGATGACCATCTCAACAGATTACACCCCGTTTCTTGGCTTCAAATTTGTACATTACATGGGAAGTCTATTCTGTGTACAGTCAATGATACTATTTATCAGAGGATAACAAATTTACAAGATATATTGTTCAGTTTATAATTTTATACCTCAAACATGGCGACTCTCCAAGAACCAAGGTAGTTTGAGTAAATACAGTAGACCAAACTAATGTGACATGCATAAGATTCCAGGTGAAGAAAAAAAAATCCAAACAAATGATTTTTAATCACTCAACTTACCTTGGACGGAGATGGAACCTTAGTTCTAATATATTAATTTGTTTACTACTAGATCACATAATTAAAGCTAACACCATGTTGACTATAGCTCCGTCGTGGCCTCCACTGAGTTTCTGTCCACTAAATAGTTGAAGCCTAAGTGAGAGTAGTCCTTCTTGCCTCGGAAAGTCACATTGTCATTGGACGGACTTGTGTTTCTCCTAGACAATGTGTCTCCTGACCTAAAACATTAAATCTCTGATGTAATACAAGTATAAATTGTGGCTGTTTCCTATTTTTAAACAATTTTAGAAAAATTCTGGATCAAAATGAACCTTAGATTTTCTTAAGAGTCTTCCGTAGTGGAAGCCATGTTGGATTTCTTCCCCATAAGAACAATGTTAGAACATTACATCATTTGTGGGCACGTAACGGCGTTATTTGTTAAGATATAGCTTTGAAATTTATAATTTGTATTTTTAACATAATAGGCTCGTGTGACTGAGGTTTTTGAATTTTGAAAATCCATTTTCATTTCCTTTCAATAATTAGCTTAATTTTAAGCTAATTAATAATCAATTATTCATTATAAAAATTAAAAATTGTGAAATAAAAAATGTCAATCTCTAGAGGACCGCAATTCCTTAAATTTAACTCCTTATCCATAATTATATGATAATTTGCTGATGAGATATTTGGACCCAAAGTTAACATTGTTCTTATGGGGAGGAAATCCAACATGGCTTCCACTACGGAAGACTCTTACGTTTCGCCAGTTTTGATCTAACTTATGAGGATAAATAAACTGTGGAACAAGCTTTGACAGTAGTAGTCCCTTTGAATATTAAATCATGGTGATAAACTATGACTTTTTTAAATGTTTACATCAACAAACCTACTAAGAGTCATAACTAAGAGTTTAACCTACTATAGTTCCAAATAGATAAAGAACTTTCACATAAGAGCCAATAACACAATATTTAGATTTATAAAACCAGTACAGATTAGATCATCGTGATTGGTAATAATTTTGGGATTAGGATTAAATCTTTTTAATTTACTGGATTCACCCATTAATTTGCTTGAAACATATCACTGCATATACCTTATAATTAATCAAGTAGATCTTATGATTATATAAACGAGGCACTATTTTAAGCAGCCTCACTATGTCTAATACACTTTAGGTTATTTTATCATTATCATTATCAATTCAGATGGGGACACCACCTAGGTGTGTATTTTAACCCAAATATGAGTGAAGGATGAGAGTGGAATGGTGCGAAATGGTCTGTGTAGCTTTGTTACTGAATAACAAATTTTTTCAGTAGCCATGATTATTTATTTAAGGCCCAACAATCAGCGACAGCTGGGTACAGTTTCAACCATCAAAAAGCTACTGACTTTTCTCAGTATCGATCCGATAGCCTTTTGGAGCTTTATAAGCACTACTTAGCCAGTCAGTGTTTAGGCCTCTGACTCATGTAACACTGACAAAACACAGTGTATGATAATTAGGTATACGTCACTGTGTACAAAAAAAAAGCAAAGAAAAATACAATTTACTTCCAACTACGACTTCTATAAAACATACAAAAAATATTCAACATACAAACCTTTACCTGTCATAAGCAGGGTTTGTGACTCCCGAAGGAGAACGGTGAATGTTGTTGTTATTGTTGTGGTGAGATCTTTGTCGACCAATGGTGGCCGTTCTTGTCATTGTGTTCACGACAGGCTTATCTGTAAACATAATCTAAAATCACTACGAGAACAATGAGGAAAAACATGTTATTTTGTAGATAAAACACTTTTTAGAGAGTTAGATTCACTTTTTGTATTCTCTAAAGAAAGTAATGCGATGAGTTAAATTATCACGAGAAAATTTTAGAGAAAATGGCCCAAAATATACTAGGATTGACAAGGTAATCCTACCTATTTCCACGTTAACCTATTTTGTATTGTCTTAAATCAATTGCCATACTGAATAAAAAATTGTAGACTAAGAATATCGAAGACTCAAAGATCAAAGGCAAGTGATTAAAACCTATTTAAGTACTTTGAGCGTAGTTTAATCTTTATTCAACTCTCTTACCCAGAGTTTCATTTAGCTCTTTTGAGATGTAGCCGACGTTGTCTAGATTGAAGGTGTGGTTTTTGTTGCTGAAGTCCAGTTGAAGATCGTTGAAGCTGTCATTGTCATCTACCGGAACACTCATTTGTAGAACCTGAAATTTATTGAGGTTAACTACTGACGGACTAACTAAGTAAAAACTATATTTGGTGGAGTTGGAAAAGTGTGTTACAACAGTATATCTTATTACAAGTACAAACTGTGGAATTTCAAGGTGCAAGAACTTCAAGATACATAAGTTTTGTGCACTAATACTATCTCACTGGTATATTGCCTGTTGTGTTTAGGAACTTAACAGTTAAGTTCCTAAACACAACAGCCAATATACCAGTGAGTTACTCTGCCAGCCAGTTTATCCTTTAATAAGATGAACGATGCTCAAAAAAACTAATAATCAACTCTAACTATACCAAAAGCCTGGTAAATGTAATTATAATAGTAAGAACACCTATTTCTACTTATACACAGTAGAAGCTCCTTAGACAAGCAAAAGTCCTAAGAAGCGGATAAATCCACTCCAAGTTTAAAGGCGGTTGGAATGATCCAACTGTTAAATAGTTGCAATTTAATTTGTATCAATCAACATTTTATAATCACCTGTGTTTCATATTCCTTCAGACTGGGTTCCACAAACACAGGATCATAGTGAGGAGTGACATACATCCTCTGCATCCGCTCCTTGTAGGCTCTGTATCTGTCAGTGAACAAAAGCATTAGCAGTGTGGCAGCAAAGCTTTGTTATGTAATAAATTTGACATAATGCCATACATAATAAATTAATTTGTCGCAAATGTTCTTTTTTTATGCAATTTTATGTTATGATGCATTTTGATAAGTTCAATAAATTTACTAATTATGAATTTACTGTATATTCATCACAATGACTCAACGATGTAGCAGTATCATCGTGATCATTTCCCATGGTCCATTGAACATCATCACCATCTCCCATGATCACAGAAACTTGATCATCCTCATCCACAGTGATAACCTTTTTTTTTCGATTATGATATTAAATAATTGGACCAAATGTTCGTGACCATACAATGTAGCTGCATTCACATCTATGTGAATGCTGTATTAGCTCACATTTCTAGGAAACCATATTTTTGTTTTCTAGACCATTGGAGATGACCCTAAAGTTTAATCAACCGGATCACGTGGTTCTAGTTCTAAAGCCATTTGTGTTGGCCATAATTTGAGCTTCAATCTAAGCTTGTAAGGCCACAAGTCTAATGCTCTGATCATTAGACTGGCCACACCCTTATTGTAAATACAATAAGAGTAACAATACCAAACCAAATTCAAAGAAAATAATAGCAATGGGTGTACCACGTTGTTAGGATTCTTCAAGAGCCTGATCAAGGCCTGCTAAAGAAGGACAGAACAGCGAGCACATAATAATAATAATAATAATAGAGAGGACACGGCGTTTAACCGAATGCACTGAAAGTGTGGCCAAATCCGCCATCTTGGTCCGTCATACAGCCTGAATCCAAGACCCGCGAGCTCAGTTAGCATTAAAAACCCCGCGACAAATACACGATCATAAACAACATTAATAGTTGACAAAAAATTCTGAAATTTTGCACACTTGTAGATATGATACTGAGGAAAACGATGGTGTTAATATAAAATTATTAGTTATGATAGTAATTGAGTTATAAATATGTTTAATACTTATGTAGTTTAATTTTTCAGATTCAGACATGAAAAAGTTGTATTGCAAGGAAATTTTTTATTTTTTGGTCAGAGAAATTTCGTCAGCGGGAAAGTTGTGGATAAATAACGAAATTTAACTATCCGATTCACCAAAATTTTTTATCATGTTCGGTTTTCTAAAAAATCAGGTACAAAGGGGATCCATTGCCGCTGCTCCGCGCCACGCCCACTGCGCCGCCGGGCCGTCGTCTATACATTTAGCGTGCAGTGTTTTAATGTTTTATACTGTTGTACTGTAATATTGTATATATTAAAGAAATTTTCAAATATATTGTCTATGTAGAATTTTTAACCGTTTAGCACAACTTTTTAAGGACTAAGTAATTAGCTTTCAATATCATTCAAGATAAACTAAAGATAATTCTGTAAGTTAAATTAAACACTCAATTTATTGTCCCAGAAAAATTAAAGTTTTATTGAGATGTTGCCTGATTTTATTTTTGTGAAGACTTTCGTTACTTATACAGTAGTAGCAAACTCTAACATTGAAATATTTTTGAGCAATAATTTTAATTAGGTACTAAACAAAAATGATTTTTGTCCATATTGTTTCATATCCTGAGAAATATGTACCATTTGGAAACAAATTTACTCCTACACATTGTCCAAGTACTTTGTTCGTCAAGTCCTCAATTACATTGTTTTCCTTTACACTAATATCATTAACTTTATATCTCTACACTATTCTCATCAAGCATAGCAGACGACTAGCGCGCTGCACACGCCGGGACTACTGTCGGGGAAATAAATACTGTATGTGCTTGAGTTTGAGCCTAAACTTGAGATTAATTATCCGATTTTGTTGAGACAAAAATTAAATATAAACTGGTTTAAATACATTTTACGTGGTAACAATTAAAACAATTTCCGTTTACCAGAAAAATTTTCAAAGTTGAAAGATTCTAAAAAGTACCGGTTTTTAAGAAACTCTGCACTAACACTGAAGTTTAAAACTTAATTGTAAACAAACCACTAATCCAATCTTTTTGAAATTTGTATGGCTTATTGGTAGATTTATTGTTAACAGTTCCATGCATTTTAAAATCTTTACTCACGATAGTTTTCATGCTGATGTTTATTTTTAAAACGTATGCTAACATCGTTAATAAGACGCTAAAAATTTCGTTCAAAATATCATCGTGTTTGTCGTGTCACAAGAAATAACACCAATATGACAGATTAATAATAAGAACAAAGGTGTTTTTTAAACAGATATATATTTGTAAACAAAGATTTCTCCCGCAACTGGCAGGCCGATTGGCTAAGTGGTTTCTTTACAATTAAATTTTAAACTTCAGTGTTAGTGCAGAGTTTCTTAAAACCCGGTACTTTTTAGGATCTTTCAACAATATACATTTTTCTGGTAAACGGATTTTTTTTCTGCTACCACGTAAAATGTATTTAAACCAGTTTATATTTAATTTTTGTCTCTACAAAATTGGATTATTCATCTCTGAGATATTTAGGCTCAAACTCGAGTGCACATATTTAATTTCCCGGCAGGTAGGCTAGCGCCACCATCTTTGTCCGTTTCGCCGGCTAGTAAGACTGCCACGCTCCTGCGCTCCGAGTAGCGCTTCTATTTTGTTATGTGTTCGCTGGGACAGAACGTCAAATTGTAAGAGGTAGCTATACCCTCCCCCGAAACACCAGAAAACCCACCTAGACCAAGAGATGCAGATGTATATGATGCCGGCTATGCCCAGCACCATGATGAGGGCAGCAATAGCCACCAAGGCGTAGGGGAACACCTCCCACTGAGCTTGTATGAAGGTGGTCCTGACAGGAGTCACACGTAGGGGAGGGTGAATGTCAAACAGACCTACGTGTAGAGCTGCAGCCAGAGCCTCGGATATGTCTGACTGGGCCTCCTTGGAGGTAAGGCTCCTGGAACAGGTAACATAGTCAAAACCTAGAGCTTAGAGGATGTTAGAAAAATAGAGAAATGATTATGAGAGTATAGTTTTGTATGAATTTGTGGTCATGGAGCTCACTCTCTTATCAGAAAGACATTGTCTTAACTTATCATAGTAAACATCTTTCAGCTTGATGAAATTCATACTGGACTAAGCTATTAATGATTATCGGTCAATGATTACTAAACTTTGCTAAACAATCTGAGTGGCTGATTGAAAGCTTCAAAAGGCTTTTTGTTTTTACTCAATTCTACACCCATCATTCGTTTCTCGTGTTGTTGCTTTAGAAATAGGATAGCCTATTTCATTACTGTGAGTATTCAAGAACCAAAAGTGGCATTTTGTACTCATACTTTCAAAAGAAACACTAACATAGGCTATGTAGTGGGGATAAAGCAAATAAAAAAATTGGGAAAACAACAGAAATTAAAAAAAAAGAAAAGGAAAATCTAGCAGATCATTTTTTACTTGCTTTCAGTTGGTTGTTGGTAAAAATTATTATCTTTAACACGAAGCTGCCATCAAAAATGAAATTATTCAAATATGACAATACTGATTCATATCCAGGTTAATTGTGGCATGTGGACTCTTACCTCTTCACAACGGAGGTGTTGCGGCCTTGTATCAGCTCAGTGTCAGGGTCCACCACATAGAACCACACATCCGTGCTGAACTGATCAGTGTCTAATGTCAAATTGTCCCTGGACCACTGTCTGGGCACCATCTGCTCAACTCCCACCAGCAAGTTACTGTGCTGCTCCAACAACGTTACCACCTGCCAAACAACACAATGATTGATTGAAACCATTGGGAATGTAACCTCTGTTTGGTAAATGCCCTCCTCAGAAACTTTCTTCTGTGGGTTGAACAGTATCTTGTACACGGGTGTGCGTAACAGACATTCCTTCAGAAACAAGTTAATGTAAAAAGGTTTGAAACACAAGTATTGCCTGTACAGGGAGAACCGTTACCGTACTATTATTTGTAAACGATAATAAAACCTGGATTTAAAAGTTTATCATAAAATCATCAGTCTGAATGATTGGACCCATACAAATGACCTAAATCAACCAAGGTTGGGAAGTTTTTTAAGGTAGGAAACTTAACTTAGTTAGGTGTACTGGAGGAGTTTTCTTTGTCAAATTCATAGAATGGGATATTAATAAAATTAGGCTGTGTTTTCATTAATGACCTTAACAAGGGCCATACAAGCAAATGCCGAGGTAATACTGACGACCTGTTTTGTATAACAAGGCCCTTTCTGCTCAGATAACTAAAGACCTTCTGGGTCGCTTCACAGCCCAGATTTCCATTATCTTTATTTTTTATGTGGTGATGATAAATTTAAAGATTCAGTCAATGGGGTGGTGAGGGAAGAAAAGACACTCAGTGCTGATGTCAGATTTAAAATAAGTTATTCCATCGTTAAAGAAACTTGTTGGACAGCTCCTATTAATTGGGTACATTTTTTAAATAAAATTATTCATACTTCATTTTTTAACAAGCAGTTCAACTTTTAAAGTATTGATACTGTTACCAATGGCCATTCAAAACCAATAATTTAATTTATTTACCTTCTCACGGTTTTCTTCCACTTCATCTGCAGGCATGTTGTTTATGACCAAGATCATGCGATCAATATCTTCAATGACATTTACCTGAAAAATAAATAATTTTTTAGAGTTTTTCCACGACAAAAAATAATGTTTTGTGCTGCAATCTTTAAGAGTAAATGTCAGAAAACAAACCAATATTATGATGAAATGAGTGAGAAAATATCAATTAGTTTATTATTAATTCTTGTTTACACAATCTGGTTTAGCTTAAATATAGAGTTCCAAAACTACTTTAGGCACAATGAATAGATTGAAAACAATAAAGAAAGATGAATATTTTTAGTTCAACTTTAAGTTATCACATATTGGAGACTGGCTTCTTGTATTAAACTTAGAATGAATAAATAAAAAATAGGGTAATCACAAATCTTGACATAGGCCTATCTGTGCACTCAAGTCAAGCCATGTCAACTTACGTAAAAGTCAAAAAGACCTAATTCAGAATAGGCTTTTATTCTGATTAACACCACTTGCATTTCAACCATCGTATTCCAACTGAACAGCATTTAATCGTTCATAATCCAGCATTGAATCTCAATTCAAGATAAATTGGTTGAATCTTAATTTTGTTTTTGGAAAGGCTTTAGGCCAGGATTTTGAATTGTATAATAAGGAGGATGGCAGCTAGCTTACCTTGAAGAAGTGCAGGTAGGCAATGTCGGTGACGGGTTTCGGTACCGAAGGTACTGGCACCGTCATTTCACCATCAATTCTTGGTTTGGGTTCTTTTACCAAGAACCGGCAGAACCGACATTTGACGTGAAGTACCGACCCATCACTAATAGTAATATTTTCCAACACCAACATATCAATCTCCCACATTTCCACTTACCACTATCTGTGTAGCAGCAGTGTTGTATCCTCTGCTGACTCCAGGGCTGTCTCTGGCCTCCACAGTCAGTCTGAAGGGTAAGGCCTCTCTACCTACAGAGTCCAGGGTCCTCTTGGTGCGCACAACGCCTGTACGAGGGTCGATGGAGAAGTAGTCCACTGCGCCTGTCTCATCAGGGATCAGGCGATACTCTACCTGGCCTAGCTTGCCTGCGTCCTTGTCTTCTGCCTGAAAATTGTAGATACAATGTTAAAGTAGCAACACTGTGATAACAAATACTTCTGTTCTATTCCTGGGTCCTGCGGTTGACGGACCATCTGTCATGTCATTCCTCTCTCTTCTCCACAACCTTTTTACCCCTTCCTTCCTTCTTCTAATATCCTCTTGGTCTATTCTCCTATATTATTATGAACTCTGTTATCCTCTGCATTCTCTCATCTTACATTACTGTATTCTCCAGCTTTGTTCTCCGAAATTCAATAACAGCAAGGTACTCTTAATGGAGTTTCCTAACAAATATTGGTTTCGGCCCGCTTGAACTAAATGTACATCATGTTGTGCAATTAATTACATTTATTGTTTTATTTTCTTGGAAATAAAATTATTTGCCAATACTTAACCTTTAACCAGTGCACCAATTAAAAATTCCTCTTACTTTGACATCCAGAACATGAGCCCCCACGTCTCTCCTGTCAGCAGCAACTCCCCCAAAGTATTTCTCTTTTTTGAATCTTCTGCTTGATTCTGGGTAGAGAAAGACAGGTATGTTGTCATTCACATCTAGAACCTGGATCTTTACCTGAAGACATTTGAAAAAACAAATGAACAACCATAATCAATAGGTATATGGTTTGTTACATACATCTGGGTTGCACAGGTGTAAGTTACATCAAAAACCGAAAATAAGTGCTTAAAAAAATATACTATCTGATCATACACATGTTTCTTTTGTGTGATGATATATGTTGTTTTGTATTACCTTCGTAATATGTTTATCACCAGAAAAACACTTTTGTTTACCATGCAAAAATTATGTTTACGGTGAAAATTTAATGTTCCCCATCAAATTTTTTATATTGCCGACGTATTGAACAACGTTTTATTGTTTCATCAACTGTATCAATTTGCAACAACCAAACCTGTACCATCAATGTAAACTTGAACTTTCAATAGAAGGCTTAGCAAAATAATTAAATTAGTTTTAAAATGGTCTTATGTTTTGAATTAAAATTTTAAAAATATTTGTAGTGTAGCGAAATATAACGTTCAAAATACTGGAAGTATATAATTTATCCTCAACCATATTTGCACTTCGAACACAAGGTCTAAATTGAATTTAAACAATAACTGCAGTAAACTTGTTAAAGTACACTAGGCCTAACAAATAAATTAAGATTTAATTGCTTCTTAAACACTTTACTACTTAAGAAAATCTGCAAATTTACATGGCATACTAAACAGGTAAAACGAATTGTAATGAAATCATATCAAAACTCCCGCTGCGGGCGCGAACTTTTGGTGTGACATGGCTCGAGGAAAAACATCCGCGCGCGGTACTCCCGCGGCGGGAGCGGCGGACGTCGGTGTGACCTTTAATATTTACATAATATTTACATCCATAATATTTACAGAAACTCTATTCATTATGACTGATGTCAAGTAAGCAAACAATAAGTTGTAAATGGGCAAACTTAAAAATAAAACAAGGAAAAATACCACAGCAGTAAATCTTTTTTATTCCATACTAATTGAGGATCCAAGTTGCCTGGAAAAATAAAAGTTGAGATTAAGCTATCCATGATATGATATAATGTTTTTCCAGGACTGTTTGAGTAAATGAAACAACTTTTACAAAAAAAGCTTGACTAGTGTGTTCTGAATTTTAAAAATCCAAACAGTGTAGCTAATAGCTATATAAATAAACTTAAGGTACAGTACCAAGCTTTTGATTTAGGGCTAAAAATAACCATGCCATCATGCCAACAAGTAGGTTAATGCTAACCCTCTACCCGCCTGTACTGTTGCATCCACACACAGGCACAGTGATGATTACACAACTAACTAAATAGAATACTACATAGTTTACAGTTGTGCATGTGCATCTCTAACTGTTGAGAATGTGACCTACCGAGGTTGAGGTGATGGCATTAGTGTTGTTGACCAGCAGACCAGTGTCCAGCTGTAGGGTCAGCTGGTACTCTGATGTCTCCTCACGGTCCAGAGCAGCCACAAGTCTCAACTCACAGTTTCTGTCTTCAGTCACTCTCACTGAGAACACGCCTGAAATAGAGCAACAACACAGTTATGTACAGAAGTTATGTTCAAATTTAGCAAAGAAAGCAGAAATTTCTGAGAATTAGGCAAGTTGATGGCTCATTCAGTTGCACAATGGACTTCAAATCCATGGCAGTGATGTGGGTTTTGATCCTGGTGCCCGCCACTACTACATTTCATTAGTACAGCTCTGACTCTTGTACCTACTAGTACATGCTCTATCCTTGCTTTTCTGGATACGTTCCACGCACAGGAACCAAGGCCTATGTGAACGGGCAAATGCAAGGATAAAGAGGCTGCCCCTGCCCACCTCTTAAAAAAAGTGATGGCAATAGGGTGTTAAGTTACACCATTTTATATCATGACAGTTATTTACAATAGACATCAATAAGTAACTGGTCTTTTCACCATCTAATGATCATGCTTTGTTAGATGTGCGCGCTTTTGCTGTTGTATCAATAGAACTAATAGAAGTGGTTTTAAGACATTTTTTTTATTTTCACTATCCCCAGGTCATACTTATACATGGAATATAGACTATGGGAAGTTATTCAAGAACCCAGAATTCTTGTTAATGACACTATAAGCTGCTAAGTTAGCAACACTTCACCACTATCTGATGTAATTTGAATGCAAGTGCTGCCATTCACAGTTCATTCTTATACTGTATCACCATTTCTTTACATGGTACTTACCATACAAAGACTTGCATTGCACCTATAAAAACCTTTCCATCATACCTCCTGTGTTTCCTTTGCTGATGGAACAGTGTAGTGGAAGGTTCTTGGGTTGTTTCTGGTTCTTGATGATGGTGAATGTCTTGACAGTGGAGTTAGGTTTGGTGTCCTCAGGCACCTCTATGGTGTACAAGGTGTCAGCAAACCCAGGACCAATGTCTGGAGTTACTGTAGTAGTTCTGCGGATGTACACAGGGACTGTCATAGAGGAAGACAACTCTGGCTCACCTGAGTCATACGCTCTGACTTCAACCTGTAAACACAATGTTTTGAAATAACAACTTCATAATGGGTGGGGTACAATATACAAAGTGAAAGAAGACAATTTCAGATAAGAGAAGAAATTAAAGCTACTTTTGAGGTTAGGCATTCTTGTTTAAAGGCTTTAAGCCAGAATAATATGCTTAAGTTTGTGTTTGACTTTCACAGGAAAAGCAGGCTGTACTGTTAACTATCCTTCAAAATAAGAAACATATTTACATAAACAAAATCAAAATATTTCATGGTCACCAACTAGTTGTACCTAAATCACAAAGAAAGCAATAGCAGTTTTTTTTTTTACAAAATAAATAGGTTAACATACCTTACGTCGTCAATCCTAAAAGTTTTGATTGACTGAACTTTTTTAGGATTGACAACGTAAGGTATGTTTAACTATTTATATTGTCAATAATCAATCCTGGAGGCAATGATGAATAAGTTTTTTTTTAATCGAGAGATCAAGCGGTAGCGTTGTAGACTAAGATATCCATATAGCAATGTCTAGTTTGCTTCCCAATGGCGCCTCTTAAAATTTGTCGGTACAATTCCTTAAACTGTACCAGTTCACGCCTTGTTTTTCTTAACAACGCCTTAGAAACCCAAATGAAAAAACAAAAGCAAAGTCAAGGAAACTGCCAATAGAAACAGAAATGATATTGACAAAAAGTTTATTTTATATAACAAAACATTGGCCTCTCTAACACCTTGGATGCTGGTACTACAAGTGTATAGTCAATGGTACAGTAGGCCTACTAAAAGCAGTGTGGCGATGTAGCCTACTTACCTCGTATTCATTGTCAGGCTCCTTGCGAAAGTCATCCTTCACCCGCAGTTCCCCCGAGGTTTGGTTGATTTCAAAGAATCTTGAAGCTTCTCCTTTGCCAACAATGTCGTAGCGGACCTTAGAAAGGGTTTCATCATTATTGTGACATTATCAAATAAAAAACTTCATAATACTCTGATATAAACTTGTGCATAAAATTATTTTGTTAAAGCTTACAATATAACGGTCACTAATTGTTTTACGGCAAATTCTAAATTCTTTGATTTAATGCAACCATAACATTTAGGCCTACTGAATCTTTTCTTTATTGAAACTATAGCAGTAACAGTTACTTGTATTTTGATTTGTGACAATAACAGATTATCTAAATCATGATGTAACCATAGAGCACTAGGCCTAGGTTTTTAGGATTTTTTGTGAGGATAGCAGGCTTAACTGAATGGAAAATAGTCCAAACTGGCACAATAGACACACAGCTTTACACAATATACACAAGTACACTCTCTCTTCCTTAGTTGAAAATGCTGTCAGTGACAGTGAAATATTCCAAGTTTTGGGTACTTATATAGTATAAAGTTTTGTGTCTCTTGTGCCAGTTTGGACTCTTTCTTATTTAAGTAAGCATGCTATCCTCACAAAATATCCTAAATTTAGCTAAATACTTCACTTTCCTTCCTTGTTACGAATCACTATAGAAGTTCTCCACTTACTGCTGTTGTTTTTCCTATGTGTTCACTGTAAGAAGTTTATATGGTTTTGTCAAGGTAGTAAAACCATATAAGATGACCAACTTACAATATTGTTAGGAGCCGTGCCATCAGCATCAGAAGCGGCTAGTGTAGTTACTAATGAGCCTATCTCAGTGTCATCATTCAGCACAATCGGTTTCGTTAAAATGGTCAAAAACACTGGAGGCACGTCATTTTGGTCCTGAAAACACAATTTTTATAGGGTTTCAATTCAGTTTTACAACAAAAACCAGTGATATTATTTCAAAAAAATCTGTGTTTGTTAAATCATGATATATAGATACAAATTTTAACTTATAGACTCAATCACACATGGCTGGTTTCAAGTTACAAGCCAGCAACAAGTAAAACATACGAGTCCCGCGTATAACCAAATCTTCTAAGATTATCCATCTTGTCGCTTGTGTATAAGCAAATGTCAGTTGGAGAAGAGATGGATTTGACACCATTGGGTAAGTAAGCTCACTCTCTTCTCTCCTTCCCAGGCAGTCGCCTCCAATTCTCTACGATTAGACAGGAGGCAACTTAGACAGATCACGGGTATGTTCACTGGCCATGGCTTCCTGAAAGCACCCCTGCATTGCTTGAGGATCCACAATGGAGACAATGTGTGTAGAAAATGTGGGCAGTCAGAGGAGACTGCAGACCATCTATGACTGCACAGCTCCGAACAAGGTAAGGGATGGCACTCTTGGAACAATGACAAGGGGCAGACACCTTCCTCAGGATGAGCTCATAGACTGGATGCTGAAGTTCATCAAGCAACTCAGGTTTGACGGACTCTGACAAAATGGGGAGCACAGAAAGCCCATCAGTGGCTGACGTTGACGTGCAACAGGACAAGGTCCTCCCCGACAGAATCAATCAAGCATATGTCAGTACACTTGGATAGTTTTACGATTAAGTTGGCAAAAAGCCTTTGTATGGTGTACAGTCAACAGCAGAGTCAACTTATTCCAGAGCATTATTATATTATATAATAGCAGTGAGTACACTGGGTTGGTTCACAAGCTGTATGTAAAATCCAGCTAGTAAGCTCTAACCTAGCTCTGAGTAATTGCGCCTCATGAGTTGGTTTCAAAACTGAATCATGAGCAAGTGTATATGACAAGATCAAGAGCAAATTGTATGCTAAAAGCTTTATGAAAATTTGTGAAGGTTTGATTTGTTTTGGCCTTGTTCTGGTTTGACTACAGACTGCTAAATAGTTGCAGCGGTAAGTAAATAATAATGGCTCTACTATGTGCAACTAATTGTAGCCTACATTTTATGAAAATAAAAAAATTTTGATTTAATCCTTTTGAGAGAAACAAATCAAATATTCAATAAAACAAATTATTATTCTGATCTAGAAAAGTGCTAGACAAAAGCTTAGATTTTCAAATAGAAATCCACATACCTCAACCATTATGATTACTTTGGTTGTAGCTCCAGGTCTCAGGTTCGGGTTTTCTTCTGTTCCAATTATTAGTGCGTATTGATTTTCTGTTTCATAGTCTAGGCCTCTGGCTGTTCTTATCTCACCAGTTTTCTTATCAATTTTGAAAAGATCCTGAGGACCTTGTTTGATGACATATGTTATGCTCTTGTTAGTGTCCAGATCTTCGGCCTGTGAGGTAAGCAAGAAATTAATAGTACAAGGAAAACAATTGCTAAAAATAAGTACATTTAGTAAAACTAAAATGCATTTCTCCATTCAGAAATGCATGGCTTAGGAATACACAACTAACTAATGTAAGGAAAGAGACTAAATTTTTTGCCCCACTAAGGAAACTTCTTGGGAAGGAAGTAATGTCGGTTACAAAACTGAAAAAAAACTACAATCTAGTGTTGAGAAAGTTTTGTATGATATCAACTGAAACTCTTTTTCAGGTAATTTTGCTGTATCTTGTACAATTTCCATTACCTTGACTTGAGCAACGAGGTAGTTAGCAGTGTTCTCAGGCACTGTAGTATTGTACAGTGTGACCGGGAAGGTAGGTAACTCGTCTTCCACATCTGTGACATGTACAGTGACTGTAGCTGTGGCGATCCTGGGGTCCGGGGCGCCGTCTTGAGCTGTCACTACAAACTTGAACTCCTGAAACATGTCATCGGAAATATAGCTGGGCAGCTCGACTAGCAATAACAATGTTGTCTTTTCCGAATTTAAATGTGGACGGCCTAATCTTTTAATGTTGTTTTAAATGTTTTAGTTGTGTTATTTCAAGTGTAATGACAATGACTGATTGAGTTATTTAAACCAAAATTAGTAATCCACTGAGTATTCAATAAGACTGACAATAGACAAGGTAAGTTTACTTTTATCCATGCCAATTTTCAACCTAGGTGGCAAGAATGAATTAAAAAAGAATTCATTTCTTGTACTTTTGAAAATATAAGAACTCGGGTTATAAATGAAGAATATAATTTATATTCTTCATTTATAACATTTATATCATTTCATTTATATGGTGCATGGAACAATTATTTTTGATACGAGATAAAGAGGTCTCGTATCGTAATAAAGTAAAAGTTTATTACTTCAGAGCGTTACGAGATCTATAGTTGTAGCTCCAGGTCTCAGGTTCGGGTTTTCTTCTGTTCCAATTATTAGTGCGTATTGATTTTCCGTTTCATAGTCAAGGCCTTGTTCATTTCATGTTTACTAGTTAGTTGATAGATCAATAAAAATGCATTATATATGTACAAGTTTCATTTCTTTACGATAACTGTACGCCAAAATATCGATGTTGTAACTTAAGGACAGAAGCCAAATTATGGGTCCCGCACAACGGGCTAGGTACGATACGAGACCTTGGGATCTCGTAGCGCATTGAACGTGTAAAACTAATGCACAGATGTAAGTGTTCTTTTATATATTTTTTATTTTTTTTAATGTCTGAACAGTATTTTTATTGGAGGTATTTTAACTAGTTTACGTACATAGAATTGACCTCAACCTTACGGCTACGGTAGCAAGTTAGCATTATTTGCACGATATTTTCGTGCCGGTGAGACACAGGCTAGTTGCCTGACTCTATCCGAGACTGGTAAGCTACGGTAATACCATTATTGTACGGTATTTTTGTGAGGACAAAACACAGGCCGGTTGCCTGACTCCATAAGAGACATTGCAAAATTTGTTTTGATACTGGAACTGGCACAATATTTTTGTGTCGGTAAGATTTTGGCCGGTTGCCTGACTAACTACAGTACTAAACTGACTAGTTTTCGGATGATAACATGGTATTAACTTCGCAGTTTGCATCGCCATCATTTTATTTGGAATCATCTAGTCTAAATCTAGACTAGATTAACTGTTGTACCTACGTGATAGTATAATATTATTGATACATGACAAGTTTCGTCAAAAGATTTAGTGTTGTCCCAAAAATAAATAAAAATCTGTATGTCTACAAAAATTTAGGTGACAATTTAAGCAAATTCCGTGACAGTAAGGGACATCGGTGACACATTACTCAAATCGGTGACTTTTCGGGGACTTCGGTGACATTTGTGACAGGTAGACACCCTGATAAAGTGGTTAAGTTATTATTGTACAAAATTTTGTGTGAAAAAAGAACATTAAATGGTAAATTAAACACAACTTATGTTTTAGGAAGATGTTTAAGCAAATGTAGGTGTTTAGCATTGTGGTAAGTCTATGCCACGTTCAAGGTCATAGCGCTTTTCCGCTTGAGTGCAAGAAAGTAACACCAAAATAGCGTGAATCTGCTGGTTAGAGGTGATTGTACAAAAGCCACCCCAATGTCAATAGAATTGGTGGAAATATCTGTTACCAGTCCTTCAACCCAAAAAGTTAAGTGGATATCCGTTACACAGGGTTATTATCCTGGGGTGGGTTTAAAACATCCAAATGGTTGACATAATGCATTTGTTATGGTACACTTTAGTACTTTCAATATGGAGTAAGTTTTATCAATCCCTTTCACTACAATATTACCTTGTTTTTCTCATAGTCCAGGGCAGTCTGTGTAGTGATGTTGCCAGTGATGGTGTCGATGGTGAAAGGCACATCCTCAGGCAGCGAGTAGGTGACGTTGGCGTTCATGCCTTCATCTGCATCTGTAGCTGTTACTTGGCCAACAAACACATCTTTGACTCCCTCCGTCACTGTAAACTCATAAGGCAAGTGTGTGAATTCCGGGTTCTTGTCGTTGATGTCACTGACAACAATATTTACGTTCGCTGTGCTCGATAGACCTCCTTCATCCTCGGCTTTGATCACCTATAAAATAAATGGGAATGAATATAATAAATGTAAGCCATATGGTAAAACTGATTGAACAAAGATTCCATTCAAATGTTGTAAATAGATGATTGATTTTGTCAAGCCAATTGATATCTAATTTTCTAGTATCCAATACAGTAACTTTATTTAATAATTTGCCTTAAAATGTTCACTTGTTGAGCTATTTTGGTTTATACTTTGACTGAAAATTACAAACTTTTTAGCTAGCTTATGATGCTATTTTTATGGTTCTACCGAAATTTCATAAAAGTTTTATACATAGGCCTAGTTCAATTCCAAACTTAACCCTTCCCGGACTATAGGCGGATATATCCCGCTATCATATTGTGTATAGCTGACAGTAGGCGGATATATCCGCTTATGTATTTTGGCTCCGTGGACAGTGGGCAGATACATCCGCTGATTATTACAACATCTATTGTTATTGTTGATTATATATAACAACATTAATCTTCGTAAAAACGGTATTTTATTCAATTATATATTCAACCAATGAACTAGGAATGTTTTTCTAGAAGAATAAACAACAACATTTTTTAAAATCCAAATAAATATAAAAAAATAATAAAATTTTTTAACAAATTAAAAAAAAAATATTATGGACAAAGAAAGTGCTGCATAGCTCACTATTTACAACATTCTATAAATTACAGATTATATAAAAAATATGTTTTTTTTATATTTATTTTTATTAATTTTGCTGTTTGTACTATACATATTATAGGCTGTCCGGGAATGGTTAACTAACAAATCACCAAAGATATGTTTCAGCAAACAGTTATAAACTGTTTTTGGACGCTATATATTTTCTTTTTCCAAACTAGTTTACTCTCCGACTTACCAGCTCGTATCTAGTAAGATCCTCTCTGTCCAGTTTTCTTATGACAGACAACACTCCAGTCTTATCATTGATTGCAAACTGACGCAAATCGTTCCCCGACACGATGGAATACGTGACAGGCTCGTTTTCCGGATCAGTTGCCTGTAACATTTTAAGTTTATGATTAGCAGTACAGAATAATATAGCTTATTAACCATTTATTTTTTAGCTATAGGTAAAATGATTGATTAATATAAAAACAACCATAAAAACTCCTCTTTATTATTTGAGAGTATATTTATAATACATATTTTTTTAATAGCTTATTAGCCTATTTATAATTCTCTCAGACAGCCTAATTTAAGTGATATACATAAAAATAATCTTATCCCAAGCTCTTTGGATGGGGACAAAGTTATTTTTTGTCTTGTTTAATGTAAATTGAACAAATTGAATCTCCGAAGACAGACGTGGATAATATTGAATACTTTTATTAACTAATAATCATTTTCAATATTTTGATTAGACTGTGTTCTAATAACAGTGCCTTCAGTTAACTCAAAATTGGTTCTGATGGTTATCACTTAATTTCGAGGGATTTGGATTGCTTTCCCTCTAACAATTGTAGGCCTTCTCAAAACATAACACTGTCACAGACAGTAAAAAAACAGCTTGATTACAATTGGTGTCTCATTTTAGATAGGTATTAGAAGACATCAACTAGCAACAAAAAAAGAAAATATATAAAGAGTAGTTGTAGAAAATATTGTTCAGCAATGGATATAAGGATTGTTGTTTTTACAAATGTTACCTTGAATACGGCCAAAGACACAACAGGTAAAGTACCTACCACAATATTTGCGACAGTAGAGTTGATAGGAGCTCCCTCACTGATGGTGACATGATACGTAGACTCTTGGAACACTGGACTGCGAGTGTTGGGTCCTGGGACTACAGTCACCTCTACAATGGTCTGACTTGACTTGCCTCCACTGTCCGTGGCCTGTTGGACACGTGAGGACAATACTTACAAACTCAACCCACAAACACTCACTTACTAACATACTGTTATCCATCATCTCATACAGAATTAGGTACAATCTGTGTCTAGTACTGTTGGGTTCATACAGATTTTTGCTAATGTTGATAAGCCAAATCTACCACTATAGACCTACTAAATATAGTGAAAATAGAGTGGGGGTCACAGTGCACAACACAGGGTACAACAACCATTTGTTAGGACAAAATTTTAATTTTTTTTTTCTAAAATTAATAATTTGTCTCAAATTTGGGTGACAATAATGATGTCCCCGTGATTGAGGGTATGTTCAAATGTTCACAATTTTCCCTGATTGCAGGGAAGTTCCACATAGGAGGGAAGGGTCCTCCAATTTAAATTGACCTAGAGGCGCAAGTACCCTAAATCCACCTCTGGTTGGTATACTGTAGTACTAAACTTATGTTTACAAATTTCACAAACGCTGTGTGTTTTTGGAACAAATCCATTTCATTTTAACAACTAACCTAAAAGGCTTAAACTTTAATAGGTCAAACAAGGATTTGGTCTTGATAAGTCAGAATGAGAGAGAGTCTTAAGAAATTTAAACAAACAAACATATTTAAGTGAGGCCAAATACAAAGGTACTTTACAACTTGAGGTTGTTTGGAAACAGTTTCTGAAAACTCTTTTTAAAACGTTGATACTGTTTCCTGTTTCCTATTAATGGTTTCTGTAAATGATAATGTGTCAACTAAAGCTAACAATGGTGAATTCATGTCATTCAAAATATATTGACAAGCATTGTGCAATGAAATTTCGTATGGACTACATTTTGTGTATTGACAACTGGCAAAATGAAAATGTAAAGATGTAAAGAATTAATCATTTAGCAACTATTTTGAAGCTGTAACTAAACATTTGGAAGATAATTACTACAAAATTATGCTGTCCATAGGAAGCATTGTAGGCCCTACAGGCTTATTTCCAAAACTAAATGTACTACTCAGTTAGGAACAATCATGTTCGAAGGCTTGATAAAAAAGCTTAGAATTTCAAATTGCTCTACGTTAAAAATAATTATATAAGTAGGTACAAATTTATGTGATCTACATTAAAAACATTATAATTTAAGTAAAAACTGTATATTTATTTGTTCGTAAAATGATTCATGATTTCAGTAGAACACGTTCAGAATTTATTCTACAGCAAACCAAAAGTTTCTAAAGTCTAAAAATGTGAATTCAAAAAGAAAAACTTCAAAAACCAAATAAAAAGTTTATCCAGCTAATGGTAAAAAAACAACACAAACTTGAAATAACCAAACAAACTCAGCAAATACCTGTACAGTGATGCTATACTGTTCTCCGGCGTTCAGTTTGCCATTGACCTCTATGGCTCCAGTACTAGGGTCTATTTTGAACTTGTTCCTGCCGTTGTTGGACACGTGATAGATACTGTAGGATATCTCTGCGTTCTCTCCCACATCCCTATCAGTGGCCTCCACCTTGACTACTTGTCTGCGACCCTCCCCAGCTTGTATAGAGATGGGAGGAATCATCGGCATGTGGGGAGCGTTGTCGTTGATGTCGTTCAACTCTACAGTGAACGTCACTGGAGAACTGGCTGCTGTTCCATGTCGCTCTCGGGCAACAACCTAACACCACAAAAGGTTCTATAGCTACAATACCTTCTTTTTTATGGTTAAATTGTTGACGACATCACAAAACAATAAAGTAGAGCGTCAAAAATCTGAACCAATTGGGACCATAGGTAGTTTAGATTACCGATTTGTTCAGATTTTCAAACATAACCTACATATGCCTAAGAGACACGTAATTTGGCCTACAGTATTAAAAAACTGTTCTAGGGTACAGTAAATAAAATAAAAACAATGGTTTTCGTACTTTTACAATGGTATTTTCGGTACAATACTGGTAGTTTGTTTCTTGAAAAAATATTCCGAGTTTATACATTGGAAACGAACACAACGCCGACTGGCTCGGTGGCTGGCATATTCAATATCATTTCTCCGCCGGTTGCAGACTGAGTATTTGAAAAACATCTGTTGTTTCTGTACTAATTCAATATTTTAAACCCCTCAGGAGCGGTTTGAATTTTTGACGTTTCTGATTTTTGATATTCAGATTTTTGACGCTCTACTGCACTAAGAGTCTTGCACACATTATATAAATCCATTTAACTGTTACGACACAGGTTAGAATAAATCAACTTAAGTGCTTACCTGAAATCTAAATTTCCCAGGATTTGGTGGATCTCTGTCTAAATTTTCTTGACCGACCACTAAATTGCCTTCTTCATCAATGTGGAAAAAGTTGGTGGTAACTTCATAATCATAGTCAGGTTTCGGATCATCTGCCCCCTGCAACATAGCCATAAACTGCATCATGATTTTGGAACAAAGCAATTAGTGTGTACACAATTTGTAACATGGTTCTAACTACAGTATAATCTCAATTTTCAATCTTCCCTGCCGAAAATCAGGTGTGATAAGGTTGCACACCTATTCCGTAAGTGGGTGCAAAGAAACAACCCCTCTTACACCGCCCCAGTCATGTACCTAATCAGAAGATAACTGTAGTAAGTTAGTCTGTAATTCTCTTTGTTTTTTTACGCTGCATACCTCTATGTTAACCTAAACTTCATCATGCCAATGGAGATCTGTTTTCTATGTTTGAATAAGATATTTAATATTTTTACAATGGTTTTTTATTTGTCTGACTTTTCCTGCTGGTTAAGGATGATCGGAACAGTAATATTGTCTTATTTCAATGTTCTTGCACTTTATTTCCTATAATTAAGTTATAGCCTAACTACCGACAATGTTTTACAAGCTATGAAAATAAAAATAACCTTATTTTTTATAAAAGTTACTAGCTCACCAAGTCAGGATCGGAGACACTCAGTAGTATCGGGTTTCCTTCTTTGTCAATAATTCTGGTTCCAACAGGAGCATTTTCATCAACAAAACCATCCGTAGCAGAAGCTGCAATCACTGGAGGGTTCACATCCACTGGTCTGACCAAGATTATCAGTTTGGCTGTTGCAAATCTTCTACTTGCTGATTTTTCTTCTGCCTAAAATAGGTTTAACAGAGATTTAGCAACAGTGTCTAATTGAATTTGACGAGTGTAAGGTTAAGCTTATGTAAGAAATCGTCAGGAAAACTGAGCAAAAGAAGAGATCTAATCTTACTCATTGTTATTCCAAATCATGTACAGTAGACTCCCTCTTATCCGGACACCTTTTAACCGGACATCGGTTTAACTGGACTACTCTCAGCGGAAATGACATCTATTTAACCGGACAATTTTTATCAGCACATTTTTTTAACCGTACCAGATCGGCAGGAAGTGGGCGGTACTGAAACGACTGTCATCGTGGGAAAGATTTGAGACCAATGATCACGTGTCTAAATACAATGCTCTCCTAAATTTAAGTCGAATATCACAGTAAACGGTCTGTTTTAACGAGTTTTTGGGGACGTCAGTTTAACCGGAAAAACCGTTATCCAGATTGGCCTTGGTCCCGAGGAGTCCGGATAAGCCGAGTCTACTGTAGAGAAGATCCTAAAATAGCCTAGTGTATATTTACATTATCTCAGTACAAAACGTGTTAGGCCTAGCCTAGTTTACGTTAGCCCAAGATCTATTATGTCACTTAACAGTATTATCATTATCAATTGAGTTGGGGATGCCAGGGTTTGTATTTTAACCCTGGAAATATGAGAGTAGAATGGAATGAGATGCCTTCAATGTTTTTTGCCATGTTTTTTTAGAAATTTCAAGAAGCTTTTGAAATATATTTCCCAAAAAAGGTCAAGAACATAAAACCTAAGAAACCTCATAATAAACCATTGAGTAACTCCCCCAAAGTAAAGAACTGGTTTACTCCGGAGCTTGCTAGGCTAAGAGGTTTCATTGTCCTTGTTAGCGACCTCGCTGCTACCGAACTTCATCTATTACCTTTGTTGCGTAATCTGAGGAGAGACTACCGCAAAAAACTAAAGGAAGCTAAGATAAATGCGAGTGCTCTGTTTATCTCCGAAGCATCTAACCCTTGCAAAGCTGCCTGGAGCCTGATCAACAGGAACAGGTCAAGACGTCCATCTGCTGGTTCCAGCTTTGCTACAGCAGATGATTTCAATCAATACTTTGTAGACTCGGTGGATTCCATTCTGGAAAATTTACCTAGATCCAACCTTAACCTGTGTGACATTGCAAATGATATTCCAGCTGTAGCTACTCACTTTGAGTGGAATCATGTAAATTCACTTGATATTGTTAATACTGTTCATAGTTTTAAAGCATCTGACAGTAAAGATATATACGACTTGACCCCCAATTTGTTAAAACGGGTTATACATGTAATTGCCCCAATTTTGACGTATCTATTAAATGCATGTTTTTTGGAGGGAGTTTTTCCTCAGGTACTTAAAATGTCAAGGACCGTGCCCATTTACAAAAAAGGACTTTTGAATGAGGTAGCTAGTTATAGGCCAATATCCTTGATTCCTGTACTAGCCAAAGTTTTTGAATCTATTATGTTCAGTCAGCTCTATAATTATTTTGAGCAGCAACACCTTCTAGTACCGGCCCAATTTGGTTTTCGCAGAGCGAAATCAACCTCAATGGCTGTCGAAGAGTTTGTTCAAGTAATTATCAATGCTTTTGAAACCAAGCAATCTGCTTCGGCAATTCTATGTGATTTATCCCGTGCATTCGATTGCGTTCAGCACAAAATCTTGCTCGAGAAACTAGAGAAGTATGGACTAGAGGGTGGTGCACTCAGATTGATTGAATCATATCTTGACAATCGTCATCAGGTTGTTAGCTGGGACGGTAGAATGTCTACCCCTGTTCATGTAAAATACGGAGTTCCCCAGGGCTCCATACTGGGGCCACTTCTTTTCATTGTATCAATTAATGACTTGTACCACAGAGTTGGGGATGGTGTCCTGCTCTTTGCAGATGACACAACACTTGTATCTAGTAACACCAGTTGGCAGGCAGCTGTAACTTCAACAAGAGAATTGTTTAGTAATGCTTCACAATGGTTTATTGATAATAAGCTCTCACTCAATAATTCTAAGACCCAGGAAATAGTTTTTAGTCTTTGCAACAGTTCTGAAATCAGTGAACCAGTAAAGTTGTTAGGGTTCACAATTGACCCCAAATTGTCTTGGGACGCTCATATTGATCAACTATGTAGTAAGCTTAGTAGAGTTATATGTTTGTTAAGGAGGCTTGCTACTGAGCTTCCAAACAGCTTTGTACGACAGGCTTTCTTTGCCTTCTTTCAAAGCCATGTCACTTACGGAATCATCTTATGGGGACATTGTCCAAGTGTAAGTAAAATTTTATTGCTGCAGAAGGAAGCAATTATAGTCATTTCAGGTGCTGGTTGGCTTGATCATGGCAGGCCTCTTTTCATAGAGAAAGGGGTCCTAACTGTATATAGTCTATAGCCTACATATTTCATTGTGTTGTTGCTATAAAGGAAAGAAATGGTTTATTTACATCCGTTGGTGAGGTTCATGAGCATAATACAAGGTCAAATAGAAATTTGTTCTATCCCAGAACTAGGCTTGAAAAAACTTTGAAATCTTTTCCTGTTTCAGGTATACGTTTTTTTAACAAGCTGCCTGTCACCATCAGAAACCTTCCCCTTCCAAGATTCACTCAGGTCATGAAGTCTTGGCTCATTCTGCATCCTTTTTACCACACTAATGAATTTTACAACACCAACCTCAACACCTCTTCTGCCCTATTAAACCCCTAACTGCTGTACCTTCCATCCGGACCAAATCAGGTTTCATATTTATATTTTTCATATTTATTTTTTTTCCAAATCAGGTGTCTTATTTATATTGTTTGTCATTCTTATGTAAGTTTGTTAAGCACTTGCATGTGATTTGTGATTTGCACTGTTCTAGATATAAGCATGACGAAGCCTATTGTATTTTGTAAATATTTAATGGTAAATAAATCTTTGAATCTTTTGAATCTTTGAATCTTTGCCTTGAGTAGGTTTGTTACTGACAATATCATCTGTTTCATTAACCAGGACCATTTATTAACAGCCGAATGATCAGGGACAGCTGGGTTCAGACTCGAACCGTCAAAGAGCTACTGACTTTGCTCAGGATCGATCCGGCAACCACTTGATTGTTAGGCAAGCACTATAACCACTCAGCAACCCAACCAAAGTATGATCCTATCATCAAACTTAATCAAAAAAAGTATGACCGAGAACAGAAATTAATTGCTTCTTCATCAAGCAACAAAAGTTCCTTGGAGATTACTTCATTAACTTACCTTAACAATAATTTCAAATCTTTTGGTCACGGAGGTATCCACGGCTCTGATTTGCTGAACTGCTCCAGTTGAGGGATTGATCTCAAAATATTCTCGGAATGAGCCAGGAGTCCCGGACAGGAAGCTGTAGATAATCGGAGAGTTGTTGGTATCCATGTCCACGGCTTGGATCTTCTCAGGAGAGACAGACAGTATCCCTGCCCTAACTCCACTGGATACCTAAAATAAACAGAGAGTTAATCTAGGTTTCCACATTTTTTTGGAGAGGTACAGTCAAAATTATTAGTTAAAATGGGTTGAATCAGTAGGTCAAATTAATTCAGTATGGTCATTTAATTGTTAAATTAGGAAGTTATTTAGTAAGGACATGTTTCTGGAATATTTTATAATGTTGCTTAATAAGTATACATATGTATTGGAAGTGATTGTTTCATTTGAAATTTTGTGAAAATGTCAGGTTGATATTTTCAATTTTAAGTTTAGAATAAGCAAAATGACTTTTTAAGAGATTCTAGAAGACTCAGGTAAAAGTAGGCCTACTGCAGTCAGTACTATTTAAACTTTCTTTTATCAAAAGAAAGTACCACTTTAAAAGTGTTTAACTTAAACTTTATTTGTCAACATCAGACGGTTATACTACCTATATGACAAAATACAGTACCACAGAGAATTGGTATTCTATTATCTGTGACGGTACATCTAAGCTCTTAAGCATATATATACTAAGCATACAATACATTCCGAGCATATAATATTAAATTGGAAGCTTCTAAAAGTGCTAAATACAAGCAAGATTCCTGCTTTAACATAGTGATCAAATTTATACCAGAAATCTACAGTAGGCCTACAACATTTTGATCTTGAACAGCTTTTTTACTCTGTTTGCCAATATTTCAAGTAGGCTGTTTAAGTTACAGATTGAGAAGTGGTGGTGAACAACACTTACAGTAGCATGGTACTCAGGGTTGACACAAGCCCCGTCCACTGACATGCATCCTCGATAAATGAAGGATGGATCCTGATCATCGTCATCTCTAACATTCACTGTCAGAGTCGTTGTTGTCGAAAATCTTTCAGATTCGTTCCTTGCTCGGTCCTGAAAACAGAAATAGGCCTAAGATAAATGTTCTTTAATAGCCCAAAACTTAACTTAGCCTAACTTATTTTATCGGCTATAAATTCCTCAGAATAAAATCATCCAAAGGATATAATAAGGTATGATTAACTTGTGATTGGGCATGATTTTAATGCAGTTAATGAGGTAACTTAAATTACCTAAACTTACGTGGATTTAGGCTAATCTTTTTACTGTCTTATTACCGTACTGATGATGAATCAAAACTTATTTGCTATGGTACAGAAGCTTATGGACGAGAAAAGTAGTGTACAGTCCGCAGGGAACCTATAGAGACGGAAAGTTGATGGCTGCAAGTAAGCCTAGGTACTTGCCAGTTAGGTAGTTGCACTATGCTTACTACAAACTTACCAAAATAGGTGTAGGCTGATTTACATTAAGTTATATGTGGTAGGTGTACAATAATAATTTTATTAATTGTACTTGCAGCCAGGAACTTCAAGTGGTCTTCTCTACTTTTCCCGTCTAGCCTATAACTTAAGCCAAAATTTACCGTCTCCACCTATCCTAACATTGTCTTCTTGTTACGATTGTTTTGTTTGTTATTGATAGGAATGCAGAATATCAAGAAAGTTGAATATGGAAAAAAGACAGGATGATTAAGAGGAAGCCTACCTTTACCTTTACCAAAACCAACTTAGGTTATATGACAGAACGACAGAACTTCATCGGCTAGGAAATTTGAAATAGTAGGCCTATTTTGGAACACGATATTGAAATTTTATTTCGTTATTACAATATGTGTTTAACTTTCACACTAATGCAGATATTGAAAGGCAACACAAACAGATAAAAATTAAATTATGGAACGAAAATAAAATATTTCAAAATTGGGATTTACGAAAGAACAACAACAATAACAATAAAGCAGAAATCAAAAACCGAATAAGTTAGTGGTTAGTGGATGAAAATTGATAACAGCTGTACCAAACCAATAGGCAGGCCGGCAGCCTGCTTGCTCGAGCGCTAAGTGTCGCTGATTGCATACGTAATATTGTACACATAGTAATTAATCATACAACACCAACGATAAGGTTCACAATAGTGGTTTGAATCATATAATTAATTGTATCATCACGATAGGACTTGAAGTGTGTATTATAGCATAGGTACTGTACCAACAACTGATATTTTATTCCAACGATCACCGGAGATTTTAATGGATTGAGATTGAGACATGAGCTGCCGTTTTGTTGGAAATTAACTAAAAATACGAAAACTGGTAAATTGAAACTACTATTTTCTACTGTTATTACTTGGAATGTTGGCTCATGTACTGGAATAGCCTATACCAAAAGGTATTACTTTGTCTATGATACCAAATCACTCTTGTGCAATTTTTGAAGCAAACTCCACAGGGTTTACTTGTTTTCGTAAGATGGCAAAATTTAGTTTTCTGGCGGCTTTTTATATGCAATTCAAGATTTCCTTGTTTTTGATTCTTACATACTTAAAAGAGCTCCTTATGTAAAACACAAATCATAACTTAAACATTACAAATTGTTTTTCTGCAAATCAATATATATATACTCTACCTGGGCATGACATCGGTCCAACGCAAATACAAAGCCAATAAATATTGTAGTTTGAAATGTTAGTTGCATTTCACAGCATCAGATTGACACACGTTTGATGCAAAGGATTCCTTTGTTATGACATCAACAACTAACTGCTTAAACATCCAGCAAAACGTTACGTCACCACAATCTTACATTGTCCACTGTTTGCTAAAATCCATGTTTTATGTCACAGTTTACAGTTTTGTTGTATGTATATATATAGCTTTTTGCTGTGGTGGTATTACTCAAAATTGCCTTGAAATATAGCATTTTACTGAATTGGTCAGAAAAAATACTGAGCATATTACAGTACTACCCTAATTACACTACCCTAAATTACGTTGTGCTCTAACGTGTTTCGTTGTTCTTGTTGTAGCTTGTATGTAAGCTACTGTACTAGAGATTGAGGCAAATCATTTCCTTCATTTCCAGGACATCGTGATTTCAGTGTCAAGGGCTATGATAAAATTTGAATTCAGAATTCTCCTTACGAATAATTAAACTATTTATTTAATGTAATGTTCTGGCAATAAATATTTTACTTTAAATTTATTTTTTAATTTTTAATTTAAGAGCTGAGAGCCCTTTTGAAAATTCTATAAGTTTTTAAAATCTTGCTCATGTTTTATGGAATAGTTAGATCCTTACAGTATTTGTATTACACGATGCGTTACATTTTCTCAGCCTCATATGTGTGTTTACAGCAGCTTTTATTCAGGAAGTAACAATTACTCAGGTCGACCTACACGACATGGTACAATAAATGTTTTTTATGAGGTTATTTGTTCCGGTGGCGAGATAAGTGTAGGTTTCCCTCCCGCTGCGACATTCAGTGGTCGGTGGCAGCGTTTCCACCTGATACTCGAATGACTTTGGCGCCTACTGGGATGAAAACAGCTGGCCAACTGCATAGAGTAATAAATATACCTTATCGCTTGGCTAGATCATACATGAATGTGTGTGTTCATTTGTCTATTCATATAACAGCTCATATAACCTGTTTGTTTACAATTAGTTTGATTTATTCGCTACTGACTTCAGTATGGTGTTTAACATCACACTTATTAGTTTTCCTCCAGTTACCTGACAAAGCAGGCTTCCTTGCACTCTTGCACTGATTATACACAAGCACGCAAAGTCAATGTAGCTAACTGCTGCATTTACTTATTGTTGCTGCACTCATTTTAATTTGTCACACTCATTTTATTTATTTTTTTTTTCAAATATAATGTGTAACGCGAGCGAAAAAGTGCCTTTGCTGAACTTTACTGCCTAAAATGAACTTTATTGCCTATAACATATTATTAATTAGGTAATAACACTTTTCATAGAAAAATACACGTTTGGGTGGACTAGTATTTTAATCAAGATAGGCTATTGTTTGTAAAAGATAAGGGGAGGTACATACACATTACACATTTTATTGCATATGGAGAACAAATTGTCTCTAAAGGATGTGTGTCAGGGTGGGTTTCACTGTCAAAGTCCTCATCGTGGGAACCAGAAAGTCTCCAAGATATTCATTTATAAACGAGTGAAATTGAACCGAACATGAAGTGCAAATTAGAGAAACTCAGATAGCGAAGGACCGGTCGACACGTCGAAGGTCGAAACTCGTAACGTTAGAACATCGGAACGTAGAAACTGCGTCACCGCTTATCCCTCTTCACAGATCCACGGCTATTACGGTAAAACGTAGATTTGTTCCCATCGACTAAGAGCACCCTTCTCCGTTTTTATCCTGCAATTATTCAGGCTAATTCGTTTCCTTCTTCGACAGACAGGAAGGCGAGAAGAGTTTTTCAAAAGAGTGCCTCTGTGTTATTTCTCCGATCTCCGAACCGCAATAACCCAACCGCTCAAAGCCGGTCTATTTTTGGCATTCCTGTACGTATGGAGGAGAGGCCGAGCTGTAATTTAGAACACGTGACTGCTGCAGTAGCGGTTATCGTCGAAATTGAAATTAGATCTCATGGTTCTGTTCTGCACTAGGTGCATTGATCGCCACATTCACAATAGTACAGGTTTATGCAACATACACCGACTTCTCCAGTCTGTGTAATAGCTCATTTATACGTTATCAACCCACCTCTCTTTGTTATAAAGTCATGTAATTGGAGGTTGAAAATGTCAGAGCTCTTTATCCACTCGCCCTGTTATTGTTGGGCCGTTGCCCTTTCTCTTTTGTTCATCGGTCCATTACTGTACAACGTCTTTTATCATGGGAAGACACACGCTGCGATAGTCAATTTATCCTTGACAATCGGTTATTCAAACAAAGTCTTTTACATGTGTTTTAACTACCCGATACCTTGGCATCTTCAAAAATAACATACCTCACGTTATCAAAACTATCTTTACTAGTGGAACCCCGTCAAAATCGACGGTTAATCTTGAGGTTTTATGTAAATTCAGCTAACTGCGATAGATAGAGTGAAGTCATTAAAATCTTAGTTAAATGAAGGGAGGATAAGCATAATAGTAAGTATGACGATTGTGTTCCCTAAAGAACGTGATTGTTGAATTTGTTTAACACAATATTTCCTACCTTTTTATCGGCTTTATGTTGCCCAAAAGGTTTTTTAGGAGTCTTTATAATTGTTTGTTCGTGAATTTGTTTCATGTCAAAGCCACTTTCACATATGGGAGAATGAGTTCATATAATTAGTCTACCTATCATGTTACGAAAGAGTCAATATTTATTACTAACACCTAATTCCATCTGCTTTAGAAAAATCATTCAGATTGTATCCAGATTTATAAGTAAATCTTCATCTTTAGTCATAAAAATACAGAATTTTATCAGCATTTAAATAAGTTTTTTTTGTATTTGATAAAAATATCTGATTCTCCAGATAGCAGTAACATTCTTACTTCAATCTAAGCAATTTTAATTCCTTCTCTTGCCACATTGACCCATGTATTTAATCATCCTGTTCTTACTTGATAATTCATTAACTTATGGGGTAGTTTTGCCTGGCCATATCGACCACATAAAGCTGTGCATGTTTTTCGTGGATGGAATGAACCATAATTGTAGGAAATTTGATCACAAATCTTGAACATTTGCGGAACCAAATCCATAACCTAGTCCAGCCTTGGTAACAAATTATGCAAATGCGATGGGATGTGATGACACTGTTGTGTTTCCGAATGTGTTGTATGTGGTGAGGTTTATATGCGTTGTTCAACCTAGCTACATGTGTACATCAAAGTAAAAATCCTGTAGGCCTGCACATTTTATAAAAATACCAGAATTGACATTAGTTCACCTACTTCACCAAAACCATAGATGAAACATACTCCGTAGTTAGTCTATTCCAAAACTTGAACACAGCTCTCATCCTCAATGCAAGTTACTCATCTATGACACAATTTTCAACCCGATTATCGAAAACTTCC